CTTTTAATGTAAACCTATAGAGGACTAAAGAGTAAGAGGAAGTACATTTAAAAGCGCTCCTGCGTAACGGAGCTGCTTCTCATATATAGAGAGGGAGGACATGTCCTTTCCCAATCAATAGAATAATCTATGATCTGAAGTTATTTTGCTCTTATCTATTTTGTTTGTTACATTTTGTTCACTTTCTTTTCAGACTACAAAATCTTGGAATATCTACTCTTTTATTCATATTTTATGTGCATGAATTATTTTGGGGAAACTATAATAATCATAGATATAAAAATGTTCAAAATATTACAATATCAGCTTACCTCAAAGGAATACATTTTCATTATAAGCTCTATGAAAAGTATTGCTTTTAATATATTCCTGGACAATTTCATTGTCAGTATTATTAAAAATGAACTCAGTTCTCATTTCAATGACTGTCATAAGTTTTTTTTAATAAGCCCTATAGCAATTATAATTATTGCCTATTTATGACAAAATATTGAAGCTACTTCATTGCATCTCTCTGTCTGGAATGAATGAATCACACATTTAATTCCGTATAATATCTGGGGAAATAACTTTCCAAAAATTTCAATAAGTGTAATAAATCTTTCATCTAAAATATACTCCAGTAGATCGCTATGAAATGTCATCACAAACATATGCCCGTGCACACTCCAGAAGGGAGCCTGGCTGGGGCATTTGTTTAACAGTTTTATTTCACTACAAATAATTATATATTTCTACTGTATTTAAAATAAAGGTAAGCTATTGCTTTAAAAATCTCAACATAGAAAGATTTGCATTTGTGTAAAATCACTAATTTATTTAATTATGCATTTGTATTAATCATTTTATTAGGGGGCTCTTACAAATGTTATAACAATCCATCATCCAATTGTATTAAGCACACTTGTATATGTGTCGACATCAACATTTCCAAAACATTTTCTTTCTACTTGAGCCCTTGGTATCAGCTTCTCTTTGTTATTTCAAGTGCATTGCTTTGTTTGTGGCTAAAATAGAAAAATATAAGCACATTTGTTTGTTTTTTGGAATATATCATAAGTAGTATATTCTCTCTATGACCATTAAATTTACTTTGTGTTTCATCTTTTTCCACAGATGGCTTCTTTGAATATTGGAAGAGCGGGTGCCTGTGTGGTAGTCATCAAGCAACCTTGATTTACAATCA